TCCTTACTTTGATTATGCAAAACCTTAGCTTAAAAAGTCTATTTTTTTTCCTAAATATATGCCCAAGCTGCAAAGTTTGTGTTCAGACTGGAATCCAAACTTTGTTAACATTAACACGTTTCAGGTATTTGGCTGCATTTGATGCATTATAGCGATAGGAGTGGGTTACCACGTTTGAATCTAGTTCATGAACTACCCTAAGATAAATGAGTTTTGTTTCAGACCCAGCTATAATTGTTCCATAACTAGAAGTGAAGTTGAAGGAGCTCTGTCCCATCCCATCTCAGCTATATAGCTCCTTGCCAAGCCATGGACCCCAAAGAAGTCACTGAAATGTGATAGCCTCTGCCTGTGGTTTGACTGCAGTGACAATGGTCATTTGTTTGTTGCACCAGCACCATCTGAGAAGGAAGAAATCCCTGTTTGGAAATGAATGATTCTGCAAAGTAGCCCCAGCCACTGATGTGTGGTTACAGAGTGGTAGTTGCATAGCAGACTGACATGGCTTAGAGAAGGGATAAGAAGTAAGCTGATATGAGTGGTAATGTATTGAGATGTACTTCAATCTTGGTAGTGGCTGATGCAAAATTAGAATTAACATACACAGGGAACGTGTCTACACAAGATGCTTACTGCACAGTAGCCTAATAACACGACATAGTAGTGTGGCAGTTAAAAACCATGCTAATAGCCTACTCTGCTGTGTTATTAGGCAAATGCATGTGTCACAAAATAACTATGCATCAGTGCTACTGTGCTACTGCACTCTAGTTACTGCGCATTTAGTACTTTATTAAGCAAGTACTAAACTAATTGTGCAGTATCTAAGGCGCATTAATGAACGTTTAGATGCATCCAGGGAAGACAAAAAGCAACTGTAACAGGAAAGGCAAATTGAGAATCTGAGATAAAGCAATAGGGCTTACCCAGCCTCTGCTTTCCCTTCCTGCCATGTTACTGCACAAGCTACAATTATTATGCTTATCAATTGATGTTACATTCATGTCCCTTCAGAATTTTGCTCAGAGACTGCCCAAAGGTTTGCATCCACTTACAACTTAGATCTGCACTGAGCCTAAATTTACAGATGAAGTCAATGAGGAGGCAAGGGTGTAAGGACAAGATTTTGCCCTGCTTTAGTTGCCTGTTTGTTATAGACTCATAGGGCTGGAAAAGACCCCGGGGGGTCAATTAGAGATGCAGGATTTGCAGTTTCTAACTCATCCCAGATGTCTCTCTAGGCTTTTCTTGAAAACCACAACTGAATGAGATTTCATAACTTCCCTAAGTGACTTGTTCCCTAGATTATAATAGGATTTGTTAATCAGATCTTCAACTGACAGGGAAGACTTTCAGATCCTGGTCAAGCTGCCTCCCATGCTTCTGGCATCTTTGTCTTTTGGGGGAAGCAGGTTTAAATAATTATGTGAAGCACCATGTTAATATGAACTGTAGGTAGTATAAGACCCTGATGACACTAGCGTTCTAGTGGCTTCTTATACCTGGAGAAATGGGACAAACAACTGTTTTACAATACATGAATTGGTCACATTAGGGAGAGTTTTCCATTCTGATGGAGTCTGCAACATAGCAGGTGTGCACTGCTATGGATCACCATTGCCCAGACTTTGCAGATTAGCGGATGCCCAGTGGTACAACTGGTACACTTCAGCTGCATAGAAGAGGCTATACTTGGGGAGTGCCATGCTGGGGGAACCCACTCTGTGACAGCACGTAGACAAATTCTGTGGGTGCTTCAGATGTAGCCGTATGCAGGGGGTGTTTCAAGCAGAGCCCTGAGAATTGTGGGGCATGGCTGGACAATCCGCTGTTGCCTCTCATCTTTACGTACTAGGGGGGCATGTTAAAACTGCAAAGCAGTTTCCACAAAGAAGCTTACCAGCTGCTCCCTGGTGCTAGGAATGGATTCCTCCCATTCTTTTCCCCTACAGGTCTCCTAAGCAGCCTGCTGAGATCCTTGGTTTAACTGCTGAGGACTGGATTTGTCTTATAGTGAATAGCCCAGCATCTCTGTTATTTGAAAACAAAATTACCTGCATTAAACAACAATCAAATAGTCTTGCAAGTTTTTTGCATTTTTACTATAGAAAATGGACAAACACCCTGTGATTTTTAAGCAAAACATTTCCATGTCTTCGCAGTTCCAGGCACAGACTGATTTGCTTTATATTCATGCTAGGATTTGAAATAAAGAACCTAAATGTAGTTGAGCCTTTTTCTTTCCAGATAAACCTGACTCTACTATGGAGTAAAGAAAGAATTACATTTTAATCCCACTTTTCTTGCTATCACTCTCTCTCTAAAAAATCTAAGTGACCTTATTTTCTTTCAGTAAGATCTGGCAATTTTAATCTGACTTGAATCTATTCCATTTTTTTTACCAAATATTTTGTTTGTTGTTTTCTTTCACTTGCCACCTCTGTTCTCACTGCATCTTGCTCAGCAGTACAAATTGATGAGCAGCAGCATCCTTAAAAAGGGAGCAAATGTGAATTCTTGATTTTTCACAGTAACCTGAGATTGTGAAAATACCTCTCAACCATCCAAGATCTTATTGCTGAATGTAACATGGACCCCCCACCAATAACTAAATTATAAATGCCAGTAGCTTAGGAGGCTGTTAGAGTCTTTCATTTACCATAAACGACTCTTCTTCTACATTTATTCCTTTGTCTCTTTCTGTCCAATGTTAGTAATTTTCAACGATGCAACGTGGGGTACAGCGAAAGGCTCCCTAAGAAACAAGGGACATATAAGAGGTCTAATTTAGAGCTAAAAAGAAAGATCCTTGTTTGCATGGTTGGCTGGCCCTATTTTTCTCCCCTAACTGTAGGGATGCCAGGCACCGGCAGGTGGCAGCAGCACATCACCCAGGACATAGCACCCAAATTCTCCAGAAAGACTGCTGCAGAGCTTGAAAAAGTTCTCCTCTGCAGCAGGGGAAATCTATCTAGGCTATATTTGTTTTTAAATGGATTATATCTGGGTTCCCTTTATGAAAGCTTCTAACATCTGGCATTCAAAGAATATAATCACTCTGGCCTATCGGTGCTGGTACCAGCTTGTATTAAATTTGCATTTGTCTTCCGACCAAAATACCTTTTTCTCTTGCTGGCTTTCTTTCCCTGACCTTTTATCTCAGCAGGGGGTCTGACTAGAAAGAGGGTTCTGGAAAGGCAGTGTGTTTTTCATGAGGTTTTCCAGCATAAGAGTTGTGTGGCTCGGGTTTTCTCTCCCTCCTCCCTTTACATATCTACAGTAACACCTGCTGCTTAGGTTTTATTTAATTTGAGATGAACAAAGAACAAAGTACTGCAAGGAGTGAGATAACAAATGTCAGTGTTCTCTGATTTCTTTTATTAGTATTATTATTTTTGTTCGGATTCAGCAAAATGATATTCCATGTAGCCCTGACAATGCCTGCTGTGTACAATTTTCCTGTAAGATTCTTCTTAAACACCAGCATGTGTTTGGTATAGCAGCAAGGTGCACGCTGTCCAGGGAGGAGAGGTAACGGCTCCTCAGTAGTAATGAGCCACCGAAAGGTTTTAACGTAAACTCAGGGGGATGTGTTGGTAATGTTATGGCAGTGGGGTAGGTACCTCTAAGAGTGGACAATACCAGCTGTGTAGTTTGCGCACTGTTCTCTGTCATTGAACAGTCAGCAACAGGGCATTAGAGCAGCCTAATTGATTCTCACCCTGAGCCAGACGTCTGATGCTTCTGAGTTAATTGAGGGAGGATGGTAGATTAACTGTAGGAAGGTTGGGTGAGTAAGGATAAGAAAAACAGTGCTCAGACAGGCAAGCTTAAAATGCAGCAGAGAGAATGGAGGCTTGGGCACCAGGCTTAAGATAAAAGGCGTCCTTCTGTCAAACCCTACCGAAGGTTACCAGGTCCTAGCTGTAGACTGGCTCCTGAAGTTCTTACACACGTTGGTAAGAACCACTTTTGCAGAAAGCCACAGTGGCCTTCAGTGAGATGACCTACATAAGCACTCTTCAATGTGATCGAGGGCTGCATTATATACAGTATTTGCTAGCATTTTAAAAATGCCACCACAAATGCCTAAATAAGGCAAATTCCATTTTATTGGTTTGGTTGTGTTTGCAATATGTGATCTATTATAATTATTATTATTTATGATTCATAGAGCAGCATACATGCACAATACTTTATTAAGCAAAATAATACTTGGGGCATCAGCTGAAGTGCCGCTTGTAATGCAAAAGGAAAAGCTCTAATAAAATGTGATTTACTGTAGATCGTAAAGAGCAGTAGAGTTCAAGTCAATTAATCAATATTTGTGAAATTACAAAGTTAAATTCCTAACCACTAGACAGCTGAAAAAAGGATGTTTGATCATTGCACGGAATGTGACTATAAGAATATAGCACATACGAGAAAGACACATCACGGGGTAAAGTGATTCACATTATATCAGGGATGAATGTTGCCCAGCTCCTTTTCATCTTTACTCTTTTCCTAACTAAGAGTTTATTAGGCCTACCAGGAGGTGAGGATTCTGGATTTCTTGTTTGATTCATGGCTTTCCCACTAGCCTGCTGAATGACCTTGGGCAAGTCACACTGCTACTGTGTGCCTCAGTTTCCTGCAGGATAATGGATACTGATACCCTTTGTAAAGCACCTTGAGTGCTACTGGTGAGAAGTGAAGTATGAAAAACAGGTGTTACATCCTATGTATTTTTCACATTTTCAGAAAAGGGATGTTTTCCATTCAGAAGGAAACGTAGCTTGAGTATACAGATCCGTTTATACATGTCGGACAGTTAAGACAGGTTGCAGTCAGCTTCCTTGTGGATTCATGAAAGGATCAAAGAATCTTCCTACCCAGCCTAGGCTGGAAACCAGACGAGGCTGCAGCAGATAAATTCCCCTAATTGTGGAGCAACTGGTTTTCCTACTTAAATTCATTGCTGAAAAAAAAAAAAAATGAAAAATTGTAGATTATTTTTGTCAAAATTTTGAATTGCAAAATATTTCTGTCCCTAATCATTCGAGCCATTCAAAATGACATGAGAAAGAGACAGGAGCATAGCCAGAGGTAGCACAAAGTCCTTTGTGTATATAGCACTCCATGTAGTTAGACGTCTTTGGCTTGATTCCACCTCCCTCCCCCCAAAATAATAGGACTTTTGCTCTTGAATTCAGTAAGATCAGGATTGTGGCCTGTAATTGTTGCAGTGCACGCGTGTAAACTCTGCTGCATGTTAAATGGCCAGTGCCAAGGCATAGCTGGTTTCTGAAAAGATTGCACTGATGTGTTTCAGTCCTAGCCAACACAGGCCTACACAAGGGCATAGTGCCAGCCTGAACTGCCATTTCCCCTTCCTTTCAGGTGATTGCACTACAGTGGCAATGCCCTGTCAGGATGCTAAGAATTTTGTGATGTATTCATTTTCCTTCATCTTTAATTGTATGTTTTTAAATGGAAAGTATTTAAGAAATGGAGGATGGGCTCATAGCAACTTTTAAAAACTCCAGCTCAGCCAAGTGCTTCAGCATGTGTTTAAAGCCAACAGCTGTTATGTGCAATATGCCCCCCCCACACACTTTTTTTTTTTTTTTTTACTAGGGCTTCTATAAGCATGACCTCTATTCAGAGACTAGTTCAGGTTAGGGATTATTCATCTGAGTAAAACCAACAGATTAACAAGTGGCGGTTTCTGAAGCAAATGCATAGGCCAACACTTTTAAATTGAAAAGCTTAAAATTAGACATCTAAATTCATAATTGGGATGCCACCTATCTATATTTTTTTCCACCTAAAATTTCATAGATTGTAGTTTTTACCTTTGTGGGACACACAGATGCCATTCCTGTCTGTGTTAGTATGCCAACTGGCATAAGAGACTCCTAACTGCTCTCTTACTGTAAATATTTAACGCAACTATTACCAGTAAATACATCACCTCAGTTTCAGGAGATCAGAGCCCTCTTGGCTACTGTTGACTTCAGACAATTCACTTTATGTCAGTAGGGGTTTTAAGGATCAGATATCTTGTTGTAGGTTATCAGTTCTTAGCCTGGAGAGAGGCTGCTTTAACTGCAGGAACTCTTATCACCAGGACTGCCTTTGCCTGCAAGGGGTCACAAACAGGTGTCAGAGGGGTCTGACCACCCTGCCCTTCTTGTGTTGCCAAATGGTTGGGGAATCCCATCTAGACCTGGTTAGCTGAGAAGGGGATTTCAAGGAGTTCCCAGGGTAAAAAAAACAAGTCCCCTTATGGAAAAGGTTGACAACTCCTGCCCTACTCTAATTACAGTATATAAACAGATTGATGCTAGAGGTGGGGATGTCAGAGGGAGTTCATTGCTGTACTTCCAAGTGAAACATTTTAGGAATGCTTATTGTGCCCATTTCTAGGGGTCATCAAAATGGAGGCTAAAGAGTTTGCTGTACTTTAAAGAAATAAATGAGGGAAAGAATGAGAGGATGAATTCAGTCCCCTACACAGCATTCCCCCTACCACTTGTGCATAACTGTTTGCAGAATGAGACCCATCATTAAAACATGCAGTTTAAATTTCAGACCCAAGCATCTCCTACCATATGCACAGGCATCATCACTGGGTTGTCCACTTGTCATCACATCTGCTTGATCAAAGTGTTCATGTCCAGAGGATTGTGGTTTGCCACAGCTAAGAAGGAAAAAAAAAATAGTCATATGTCACATGCAAGTCTGGGTGCAGCTATTGCTATACACACAATAGCTGCCACGTCTGCTCAGGCTGCCAGCATTTAATCCATTCATTTGTAAAGGTACCTCGTCCATGAAACATGCTACAGAAAAGCAGAATTCGCTTGTTCATTCTACCAGAACTGTTTTTTCTGAAGAAAGTACAGAAAGCATTTGACAGGGATGGCCAAGAGCCAATCTTTCCTCATCAAGGCCATTTGTCAAAATCTGATTATTCAACCTGAATTTTAAATCACTGCATTCTTCCCCACCCTTCTTCTCTTCCCCATGGTAGTTCTGTCTTGACTGTAAACATTTGTATTGGGCAAATATATCAGTGCATTTAAGACAACTAAACAGGTATTTTACATGTAATTAATTTAGGGATCTGCTCAGCTGGTGATTCACGTGCATAACCTCAATTATCATTAATGGGAGTTATGCATGCAAGTCAAGGACAGAACAGACCCCATAATAATCTAACATGGAATGTTATTACATTACTGCTGTAATTACATCCTGCACACACATCACTTCTACTTTGCCTCACTAACTGCCCTTCAGTTGCTAACCATCTATTATACTGCATACACCAACATGGAAATTACAATAAGTGTTACTGTTTGCTTTTTGTTGTCTCTGCTCCCAGCCACTGAAGACACACTTGAGTAAATTAGTAACCAGCGAGTCAGCAATTTGTAAAGCTAGAAGTTTCATTTACTAGGTGATACTGTGAGCCAGAGACAAGTCACCAAAACAAAAACCTCAGCAGAACTGCATATCAACTCTCCTTCAAGCATGTTGTTATTTTTATTTATTTTCTTTATTAAAAACTGAACAAGAAGATTACAAATACCTTTAGGATCCTGGTCAAAAAGGATATGAACATACAGGAATGACAGTGTTCCATTAGATATTTTTGTTTTGAGGTTACTGTAATATTACACCAGAAAAAGAGTCATATCCTATTCTGAAGTAACTGATAAAGATGAACACTATTTAAAATCTACAGTGAACAATTTCCATCCAGTACAGGCTTGGCACAGCTGTTACTAGCTGGATCAGAGACAAGTTCCTGTTGGGTTTGCTTAGCAAAGTTGGTAAATTTGGACATCAGTGTTCTCACTTCCGTGCTAGTGTAGTGCATGCCCTACACTTACCAGTGTTTCAAGCATGCCTACTATTGCCCTCTGCTGGATGATATTTCAGATCTTTTTAGACTATGCTTGCCTTTGTTGCCCTCTAGTAGCAATTGCTGGACTGCAGTGGTGGCCTAAATATTTTCACCAGAATGACATACCACCGCTTCTGGCTGTGCAGTTTCTGTAGACATATACACAGAGTTAGTGACTTGTGCCTTGCAACCTTTACAAAATAATGCTCTATTTTTAAGGAATATACAGCTATGCCAAGTAACTTTTATTCACTTTGTAACTACAGATTTTGGGGAAAAAGGAAATGCTGAAACACTGTTTTCCAAAAAGAAGAAGGATCTGTAAGAACTTGGTATGGTAATCGAAACATTAAATGTAACATACCTTAAGATTATCCCAGTTTGTCTTCCAGATTCAAAGTACCAGGTGATAGCAACATCCATCACTGCTGCAGAGGAATTGTGTTTCAATACTTCTGTATGTGTAGGTCCTACACAAAATGGTTGGTAACACTATGTTCTGTTTCCAAGGTAATGTCTACCTAATTTTGCTGCTTAAACTATGCTAATGCAAACAAGGAAGAGAACAAACAGATTTGTGTTAATTTCAAGCTCCATTAAAAACACAAGGGAAAAAAAATCAATATTTGCCAAATAGAAAAGAAACAAATCAATAGTGGGAGAAATTTTATTCTCAGCCTTTTAGACGGGATAATGCAAACAATAGACTTTAAAAGAGTAAAACTACATTAGAGTTCTTGACAGTGTCCTTTAAAGCTGTATTGTAAATCGGTGCCAGATGGGAAATGAAGAAGTAGTTTTGGATACTACAAAAACATTATTTAACAAACAGGGATGCTGAAAGGAGAGGCCCAGAGAAGTGAAGTGACTTGTTCTAGGTATCAAGTACAGCAAGGGCTGAACCGAAGACCCCTGACACTTAGTCCAGTGCCCCTTTTCCCTAAACAAGGAGCAGTGATTGAGGGTATGTCTTCAAGCAGCATGAGGATCTGACTGTGTAGTATGTGCTTGCTTAATCTAGCCAGCATGGAAAATAATAGTAGTAAAGATGTTGTGGCATGGCTTTAGCATCTGCTGACAACTGGAGTACAGACTTGCCAGTGACTCTGGGCATGAAACTAGTGTATGTCAGTGTGGCTAATGGGTCTTCTTTGCTATCATTACCTGTGCCTACCAGCAGAAGTAGACTAGCATGTGCTGAAATGACATCTGCATTTTGCTGTGCATAATATGACACTAGAGTGGACTGCTGGAACGGTGGCAGCTGTAACTGTCTGATGGACTGTTCCCTTTAGAAGCATGAAATGGAGGATGGAGGGGTGAAATGGATGGCCTGTAGCATCCTGAACTACATAAACTATTGTTTTGATCTGATATGACAATTCCTAGGTTCCTAATGAGAGAAGGTAGATAGTAATGTGCTTGTGCTTGGGCACAGATAAAGGATATAAGTGTCTGTGCCTGCAGCCACAGCGTCTTGTTTTGTGGGTATGTGAGAAGAAGGCCCGTAAGGAGGAGAACAAGAAGATGTAAGGCAAACTCACTATATGCAGATGCAATATAAATTGCAGTTTGAGGACAAGTCTACCAGGCATGTACTGATCAGTCCAAACTGGTACTGAAACTGTAAATGAGACAAAATAATCAGCTACGCAGTGCGGAAAGCCACATAATGATAACTAATGACTGGAACCCCTTTACAACACTATAAAAGGTATAGGCAAATAAAAACCGAATGCAACAGTCCTGTAAAAGAAAGGACTGGTGACAACTCAAGTGTTTGGTGACATATGGAAGGATTTTTCGTCAAGGCAGCTGGTTTCTCCAGTCTTTCCTCATTTAGGAGAGGCATCTGTTAAAACAGCATGTGGCCCCTCCCTCTGCCCACCTCACCATCATTGCATGGTTTGCCCTGTATTCTCAATGGTATTTACTTTAAGCCTTCTTTGATTCAGTTGCTGTATTTTGTATTTTGGCACCCCATCAACCAGCAAATATAAGTAAAAAAGTGAAGGGAACATAGCTAAGTTGTTATCTTAAATGCACACAAATCCTACGTGCTGTGACAACAACAAAATGAATAACAAATATACTGCATGACAATCTTCTTAAGTTCCTCTTTTCAATTCCAGCCCTCCATACAACAGGGGAAAGTCTTAAAAAATAATCCTCTAATATTGCTGAACTAACAGCATAGGTATGAGATACAGCATGGTCTTCTTGTGCTTCGTTCTGTATCTCCAGACAATCACAGCTGCTGCTAGTAAATTAATGACTGGAAAGGGGGAGGTGGGGGAAGAAAGGAAAAGATGTGTAGGTGGCCTTGTCTCCACCAAAACTGAATATTTTCACTGAAGCTATTTTCTGTTAAAAAATTGGCAGCTCTGTACACAGTCACTGCAAAGAGAATTCTTCTTTACGCTGTTTTAACAGTGACAGTTAAAAGGAGACCACTTCCAGATTCACATTGAAGGCTGCCTCCAGTCATGCCAGATGCAAATAGGTACCTGGTCATTGCGCTGCACAGTCAAAGGTGACTGACCATGATGCTAGCCACACCACTCACAAGTGTGCTGTTCGTTACAGCAATTGGCATATCTGAACCATGCTAGCCCGCTGGCCTGTCGAGCTCAGGTGGACTTTTGACCCCTTTTTTATTGGCATATCGGTTAATGTACATCAGGAAATGTCTCTTTAGTGCCCAGATCGGTTTCTCATATGGCATTTGTCTGCCTGACTCTTAGACCTTGCCTTGGAAACTAACTTCAGGCACTCTCTTACATCAGGTCCAACCTGGAATCTTTGGCTGGTATAGCAATGTCATCTAGGGGGTGATTTTTTTTTTGGTACCATTTATTTTCTTGCTTAACCAACCTAAAATATATCCCAGCAAAGGCATTTTTAAAACTATACCCATACCTGAATGATTTGTTAGTACCGTATACTGGTAGAGCTATATCAGGAAAATGCTAGGCCTAAGTGTTTGGCTAGGTCTCTTGTGCTTGCAAAGGGACCATAACATGAATGAAAGGATGGGACACTCTTGGGCAGGAGTGGAGGAGTAAAATGAGCCTATGGTGAGGGCAATAAGCTCAGCTTGTATAAACTACAAAGAATGGGTACCCCCAAGTTTACTTACAGCTTAAAGGTATGTGTGTGCGGGGGTTCCTATAAAGGTTGCTCAGAAGGGATGGCAAGAGCACAAGTTTCTTGGACTGTCCAACTGCAGAACCTGCTCTAGTGGAACTTAGCAACCTGGAAGCCAGGTCAGGCTTGTGATTTATTTATTCATTTCCCCCACTGCCTTCTCCTGTTCATGTTGCATGTAGGACTGAAGGCTGGGGGACTGAAGGCATCTCTGTGATGCATGCTTCTTTGCCACTTGGATTCTCCTCCCTGGTCTTTCCACTCCCGTGTTTGCTCTCAGCTCAGACTTCTAACCTAACTGACCTTGGGGAGCTAGACTAGTCTAAATCAGCATGGTTTCATTGATATTAATGGAGCTACCCTGATTTACACCACTGGAGAGTATGTTTGTACTATACTGTTTTACTGCTTCTTCTAAAGAAACCTTTCTGCACCAGTCCTTTCTGTTCTACTCTCCTAAGGGTTGCAGCTGTATGCTAATTACTTCTCCAGTCTTCTGGCAGAAAATATAAAGAGATATTGCATGCTTCAGTAAACCCAGAATTATATTCTGCCCTCCTTGACACCATAGTCTAAGGGGAGAAACGTGGATGGAGCCTTTTTCCCCTCTTTCTCTGTCTCTCTTTCTCAATCACTTTTATACTCCTTTAATTCTATTGACCTCTATGGAGTCTCTGCTTATTTACACCACTGTGAGTTCAGTGCATGTATATGGCTATAAAGGACTTTAGAGTTTGGTTTTCTACAATGATTTTTAAAAGCATCTCTTGCCTTGAGGTGTTCCATACGTTATGCTGTCTCACAGGCCTACACTGCTGCTACATTCATATTTTATTAGGGGGAAAAAACCACAACACAACCAGCTGCTTTGGAAAATCTGAGCAATTCCCAAACCAGGTTTTTTTCTTTTTTTAATTAATAGTTGAAAGCTGCAGGGTCATGGATGAAGCAACATTTAAACCCTTGACTGCACCCATGCACAGGGAGGAGTTTGGAGTTATTATTGTGCTGATTAATTATACTTCATGGGTGCGCTAGAAGCACTTCACTTTGTCCTGTGCCCCAACACATGTCTGAAGCGTGTCATTAATCAGCCTGACTGGATGTTTTCTTCTTTCTTATTGCTTAATTAAGACTCTTCAGTAATTTACTTGAAATTAATACCTATTTGTATAGAGCTAAAATTTCATCTCTTTGGGAATGAGTTATTGAACTGCATTATACAGAGTAAATCAATAAAATATTACTGAAAATGGAAATGACACTTTTCCTTGATTTTTAGTTCTCTCATAAAGTGCATGGAGAAAAATCATTTTAGTGAAATGTGAACACTGAGTCTCTATTTCCAACTTTGCGCCAACATGTCACCACAAGGATGAAAGGGTTTCCGGTAATCTGGCCAATCAGCCTTCCTCTGTTACTTAGATCACATTATGAAGCTATGACATACTGAAGTTCTGGTAGAAAAGTGAAACAGGCCCCAGACACATGACTCTGGAAAATGGCCCCTACCCTGGTCCTGCAGATCTGAACAGTCACTGTCACTGGTGCTTAGTGCAAAAACCAACTAGATGCAACAGGGGTGCATTGTATCCATGTCTATCTAAATAGTTAATGGATAAAATGTAGTGAAAGGCACGTGCAGTATATAGTGTTGTCCCTGGATCTGGTAAAGGGCAATAAACTTGTTGCTGGGCACTGCAGATGGCTGCTTCTGGGCAACTCTTTACATCAGCATTTGTTCTCAGAATAGTTCCTTTTGCAGTGGTCTGTTCAGATGCTGTCGTGGGGCTGCTCCCTGAAGTTCAGTTTTTGTGCTTGGTGGTAATTACACCAGCATAGGAACTCTCAGTAACATTCCAGATGGCCTCAAGAAACAACCAATGTATTTTGTGGCTTTGTTCAGATTCCTTCTGCTCCTCCTTTAAGATTGACCCCCTGGTATAGGTCAGGCGCATGATCTTGATGTAGACAATATCACTTTCCCTTGGTAGGCTGCCACATACTTTCTGAAGCTACCTCTTCCAGCTCTTTCCCAAACGAAGAATTCAGAGTCATCCTTTGTTGAACTTTTGTGAAAAATTCAGTTGATGCCTGACACCATATAATCAGGATCCGACACACAGAAATGCTAGCTAGGAACTGAAATTATTTCCAGGTCCCAGTCATATGACCTGGATCAGAGTTCAAAAGGTGCCTAACTATCTCTGCCATGTGATAGGGTCTGGAATTCACTGAGTTCAGTAGTGTCTGTAACAAATAATGAGGGCAAGTGAAGCTAAGCAGGCTCCAGCTGCAGAGTTCAAAGGGGTTTCAGTAAGAGGCAAGGAATAGAGATGGTATTTAGTTTTGGGGCTCTGCAGCTAAACAGATGCTGCCAATCTGAATTTATTTAAATTGATGATTTAAAAAAAAGTTGAAAGAGTCCTATTTGGGTAACACATTTTGAGTTTTTATCTCTTTAAAAGTATTTAGGTTTTTTTCCCCCTGCTTTCTTGCTGTTGTTCAGAAGGGTATTCTGGGTTGGCTCAAGGGCAACAACACTGAGCTTCTTCAGTGCTGGCCAACCAGGCTCCCCATCTCTCTTTTTCTCTATGCAAATTGCTACCTGGTGCTGACTGCCTCATCTGAACTGGAGTCCTGGTGGCAAAATGCTGAGTCCAGGAATGCTAAGAGTTTCTCTGCAGCCACAAAATCCTCCACTCTGCTGACAGAATTACACTGCCTCTCTTGAATGGAGTAAGGCTTTTGCTACTGCCAGGCAGCTGGATGCAGGTGTGTGAAAACACATCCTCTCTACTAGCTGGATCCTGTGGTCCATTCAGCAGCTGGTGACATCCCAGGGTACACTCTATGCTCTGGTAATACAGTTGCTGCATTGGAGCCACACAGAGCTACCAGGAGCATAGGCACGCGTGTGTTTAGTGGTGGTTCAGAGGTGATATCTGTCTGCCACCACAACATCCTGCCACCAGGTCAGGTGAGGGTAGATGTCATTTCAGTTTTCCTGCTGTTGCTTCCATAAATATGCTCCTGGACAGTATAGGGAAGGCTTCTGTGCCATCAACAGAACAGAGAAGCTAACTGTGCCCTGGGAGCTGTCTAATGCGCAGACTAAACACATTGAAAAAATGCCTAGCATAATGCCTTTCAGTTATAGTAACAACAGGACATAGAAACAGTTTCAGGTGAAAATCTTGTGTTTTAAGTGAAGGCACTTGTTCCTCCACACTCCTAAAGAACTGGTTGATTTTCTGAGTTGTTTGAAGGCTGGAACTGTCACAGCACTAATGGGCCTTGGGCCAGCTGCATCCAGCAGACCCTCCTGCATCACCAGGGGGAGATGCTCTTGGGAAGGTATCTAACCTAAAACTACCAACACCTTGAGAAGCCCTTTTTAAGTCACATTAGTTGTAAGTATTTGTCCTATGTCATTCAAATATTGCTCAAGTTGCGGGGGCCTGAATGGGTGGTTAAATAACAAGGCCAGTGTCAGGATGAGGGTGAGGTATCTGAACACAGAGGATTTGACCAGTATGTCATGGACAGGCCTCCCCTCTCAGCAGGCAATGAAGTTCTTGCTAAACTTATATACTCTAGTCTATGACACTGACCAATATATTACTATATTATGTCATATAGCCAGTGGCAGCAGCAATCCCTTGATTTGAGGATGATCTCAAACACAGCTCATTGATGGGTCTTGAGATGACTTGAGTCCAATCTTTGAGCCACAGACCCGTCTGCAGAAGGTGCAGTTCTTTCCACAGGAGAGGGCAGACGTAGGTCAGGATTTCTCTCCTATTCCTTCCTCTGCTCTCTCTTTGCCTCGGAGGCAAGATGCCTCATCCTAAAATGGGCTACCACCTGGAGTCGGTCAACAGTGAGCTCCTTCCATCTCCTGTTGTTGGCACTCATTTTCTTGAGGTATGCCTTTAATGTGTCCTTGTAGCATTTCCTCTGGCCACAGAGAGATGTCAGACTATTGCTAAGCTGGGAGTAGAGCACTTGTTTTGGGAGTCAAGCACTGAGCATACGCACACAATGTCCAGTTCAGTAAAGTTGGTGCTAGAGGGGACAGCATGGGGGAAAGGGGTGGAAGACTCTGCTGACTGCTACAGTAAATTTAGAGTTAAGGTTTACCCATCTTCACTTTTTCAAACAAGTTACTGATTTGGGATACAGTCGTTCTCTGGTGTTCAGGGAGCAACCCCCTGGCATGAATTTGTCAGTCTACAAAGGATTCTTTTAGGATCCGAGCTTTAGTCATTACCACTAACATTTCTGAGCTGCCTTGTTTGATTGAAAGACTTCTGATTGAAGAATTATTCCCTGCCATCATGACTGATGCCTCTCATGTGACAGGGGACCTTTTAAAACCCCACCCCAGCCCATGTGACTGGGGTAGGAAATAAGTTTCAGGATCTTGCTACTATTTCTGCTCTGTGGACAAGTTATATATCATTTGCATGTGTGGGCTGCTACTTAGTGAAATGTGTGCATGTCTTATTATTCCACTATTTCAAGCTCTCATGAGTGCATTCTGTCCTGTTACAGATTTGTTTCACTCTTCTTCTCCCACATACTTGCCCACATGTTATACCAAAGAGTTTTACTAAGCCATTTTTCACCACCACAAGATGAAATCTTGGGGCAGCAGTTTCTCCCATTAGCCACTGTGAGTACTG